GGATATATGTCTGAGGATGACAGTGATTACTCCATTATTGGAGTAGATCAGAGAGGCATAGGTTGAGGGCCTGAAGGAGGAGAGGCAGAAGTGTGAGAGGATTGTGGGTCGAGTAGCTTCCTTTGACTATGACAGTCGAGGATTGTTGACCCTTCATGGGAGAGTATGGGTACCGTACTGGGGCGGAGTACGGCAGGTACTGATGGATGAGGCCCACAAGTCTCGGTTCTCCATTCACCCAGGGGCGACGAAGATGTACAGAGATCTTCGACCCGATTATTGGTGGCCCTGCATGAAGCGGGACATAGCTTGGTATGTGGAGAGATGCTTGACCTGCAGGAAGGTCAAGGCGGAGCATCAGAGACCCCACGACAAGATGCAGCCGTTAGACATTCCTGTTTGGAAATGGGAGGATATCACTATGGATTTCGTCACTAAGCTTCCCAGGACCACACGTGGAGTTGATTCGATTTGGGTCATAGTGGATCGGCTGACCAAGAGCACACATTTCATACCGATTCAGGAGAGCATATCGGCCGAGAAGCTAGCCGATATTTATGTGCGCAAGGTAGTGGCACGACATGGAGTGCCTGTATCAGTAGTATCAGATCGAGACGTCCGGTTCACTTCCAGGTTTTGGAAGCGGTTTCATGACGAGATGGGGACTCGTCTTCACTTCAGCACCGCTTTCCACCCTCAGACGGACGGGCAGAGCGAGAGGACGATTCAGACTCTCGAAGACATGCTGCGGGCATGTGTTCTAGATTTTGGTGGCAGTTGGGATACGTATCTTCCATTAGCGGAATTTTCGTATAACAACAGTTACCACGCCAGTATTGACCGCCCTCCTTTCGAGATGCTTTATGGGAGGAAGTGTAGGACCCCGATTTGTTGGGGCGAGGTCGGTCAGAGGGTTATCGGGAGCACTGAGGTGGTGCTCAAGACCACAGAGTTGATCCAACAGGTCCGTAGCAGACTGCAGACTGCGCAGAGTCGGCATAAGAGTTACGCCGACAGGAGGCGTTCGGACTTGGAGTTTCAGGTGGGCGATATGGTCCTCTTGAAAGTGTCACCCTGGAAGGGTGTTATTAGATTTCGGAAGAGGGGCAAGCTGGGCCCCAGATTCATTGGTCTATTTAGGGTTTTGACCCGGGTGGGTCGGGTTGCTTATCGGTTAGATCTTCCAGCAGAGCTCTACCAGATCCACAACACGTTCCATGTTTCTCAGTTGCGGAAGTGCTTAGTGGATGCTTCGGCAGTGGTACCCCTGGAGGACATTCAGGTTGACGATAGCCTGAACTATATCGAGAGACCAGTGGCGATTCTAGATCGCAAGGTGAAAAAGCTGAGGAACAAGTCAGTAGAGTTAGTTAAGGTGCAGTGGCAGCACCGCAAGGGTTCGGAGTGGACGTGGGAGCCCGAGGAAAAGATGAGGGAGCACTACCCAGAGTTGTTTCCAGAGACAACAGACTTCGAGGACGAAGTCTAAGATAAGTGGGGGAGAATTGTAACGCCCAGTTCCTGGTACGTATTTAATTTATTAAATGTCTTTTATAAAGAGCTACTCGGCGAGTAGTAGCCCTAACTCGTCGAGTAGATGCCAGGTTGGACGCGGGTTTTAAGTGATCTACTCGGCGAGTCCACGCCTGGACTCGACGAGTAGGCCAGTCTGGAGGAAACCCTAATCTTTAGGGTTATACCCTATTTAAACGTCCTTATAGCCCCCATCCCAACGTCCAGCACCCTTAGAGAGTTCCCCCTCGAAACCCTAGCCTCCATTGGTGAGCTTGAGTGATTCCTTCTTGATTTTGAGTGTTTTGGTGTATTCTTGGAAGGGTAGAAGTGAAGGAAAGAGTGAAGGTGCAAAGGAGAAGAAGGAGATCCAGAAGCTTGCTTCCATTTGCTACTTCATCTGGTAATAAAGTCTCTACCTTGTTCATTTTCCTAGTAGATCTTCATATATGCTTGTTTAGCCACTTTTGGGACATTTCAAGGTCCAAACTCGAGATTTGAGCTCTCCTTAGGATGGAGACTATAGATCTGGTCATCATTGAGCTCCAGGAGCTCAAAGTAGCTGCCTTTATGCAAAGCAAGGCCTTGTTCCAAACCCTAGGTTCCCATTTCTAGCTTATTTTGGTGTTTTAGCTTCATACCTCTATGCATGTACGTAAAGTTGGCAACTTTACGTGTTATATTGGCCCTAGAAGCTCAGATCTATGAATTGGATGCACTGAAATCGATTAGAATCAACTGTTGAGTGAGGACATGCATAAGACTCGACGAGTTGTTCTTGGACTCGGCGAGTCGGAGCGCAAACCCTCCCGATTTCTCCAATTTTAGAGTTGTGAGTTGAATCAGCGGGTGGAAGAGGACTCAGTGAGTTAGAACAAGGATCTGGAAGTGGAGGGACTCGGCGAGTCCACGTCCCGACTCGGCGATTCGAGTCGCGAGTTAGAGAAGTGTGAGTCCAGGAACTCGGCGAGTTCATAGTAGGACTCGACGAGTAGAGTCAACCAGGAAGTTGACTTTGACCAGGAAGTTGACTTTGACCAGGGGTAAAATAGTCATTTTACCTTGAGATTAGTTATCAGTATTTGATTTAGTGTTTATGGGATTTGTAGCCGGGCAGTTCCGGAGCAGCAGTCAGACAGTCTTAGATTTAGCACCTCAGCAGCCAGCGTTACGAGGTGAGTTTTCCTTCCAGTAGGAACGGGTCTACGGCCACAATGCCGACCCGTTTAGTTAGCAGTAGTTCCGGACTTCGGTCTAATGCAGTAGTTCAGTGTGCTTGATGTCTTTGTGATTTGAGCATGTCTTTGTGTTATGTGTTCCGGACTTCAGTCCGATGCAGTATGCAGTATATGTGTTTATGCCAGTAGTTATGATTATGCTATGTTATGTTCAGTCAGTTCCGGACTTCGGTCCGATGCAGAGGGCAAGGCCCTGGTTAGTTCTGGACTTCGATCCGATGTAGTTTCCGGACTTCGGTCCGATGCAGAGGGCAAGGCCCTGGTTAGTTCCGGACTTCGGTCCGATGCAGTTTCCGGACTTCGGTCTGATGCAGAGGGCAAGGCCCTGGTTAGTTCCGGACTTCGGTCCGATGCAGTTACCGGACTTCGGTCCGAGTGGGCGAGGCCCAGTAGTTGCTTTATATGTTATTGTATGGTATGTGGTAGTTTGGGGGAGCTCACTAAGCTTTGTGCTTACAGTTTCAGTTTTTGGTTTCAGGTACTTTCGCTAGTAAGGGGAAGAGCTCGGGATGATGGCATGGCACACACCACAGCTCCAGTTTATCCTGGGAGTTTTATTCAGATATTTTGATATGTTTTGACATCAGTTGATTTGATAAACTTATTATGACATTTTGAGACACATGATCCATGGATTTATCTTTTAATATTTGATATGATGATTTAGTAAAGTTTTCAAACGAAAATTTTTGGGTTGTATTTTTGGGATGTTACAGAAGTGGCACATAAAGAAAAATACAGGAACCTAAAGAGAATCTAAGTTGAAGGACGAAAATAGACAAATGTTTGGTACATTTACTGTTCCTTTCATTCAGAACTTTAATATTATATATATAATAATGGACTTTTCTTTTATTTCTTTGGCAATCAAAAGTCATTGAGGACCTACGTGCAATATTTTAATATTTGGAATTAATTATCTATCTATAAGAATAAAAATTTCCACAATAATTGTTCGAGGCCTTACCCATCCCTATAGATGACCATAGTTGAAAATAATTACATATAGATGGATTAATGAGTACTTTAGGAAGTGTTTGGATAAATAGTTTTTAGCTTATTAGATTATTGTTTATTTGCTTATTGCGGCGGAAATAAACACTTTTTTAAAATGTGTTTGGATTAGTTTATTGCTGTGGAAATAAACAATAAACAATAAGCATTTTAAGTGTTTGGCAAACAAAACAGCTTATATGAGTAAAATGACCAATAAGCAATAAGCAATAAGCATTCCCCCAATTGCTTATTAAAATCAGCTTATTTTGCTTATTCCTACCGCAATAAGCTGATTTTTAAAGACTCCTATCCAAACACTTAAATTTGCTTATTGCGGTGGGATTAAGCAATAAGCAACCTATTTTTTCCTTATCCAAACACCCCCTTAGTAGTAAATTAGATTTGTCGTTAAAAAAATAATAATAAAAATAAAACAAGTGTCAATAAAGAGGGTGGGGGATTAAAAATACTAATAGTAGTATGCGAGTTGAAAAAAGGAATATATATAATAGTATAACTAAGGTACTAAAGATAAAATAAATAATTAAGACATACTACTTTAGTACCCTAAATTTAAGTGTCCACTGCTTGCTCATTAATATCTAGGATTACCCGTTAACTCTTTCATGTCTATCTAGGATTACCTGTTAACTCTTTCATGTCTGACCTCAAACTATCTTTATATTTCATCCTCGCTGCATCAAACATAACAAACTCCACTCTCTTTATCGTACATGTCAGTTGCCTCATTTGGACATATCAAACCATTTTAATCTTCATTTCACCATAACATCCTCATTTCTGTAACTCTCGGTTTCCTCTCATGGTTTCTTTATCGGCCAATATTCGAATTCATACAACAAAACCGACCTAACTGCTACCATTCAATTTCAAACCGTCTTTTGGTATAAAAAGCACAACAGTCACCCTCCATTTTATCTTACACACACATTTTACCCCCTTATCATTACCCTATCTATTAAATTTGCAAAAAGATATTTCCTTATATCTATGTTAATATTGTAGCGATTTTCTTTCCAACATCACCTTCCAAATATCCAATGTAACATTCAACTACATCCGTATCTCTTAAAGGTTGTTAAAATCTCGATTTTGATCTTAAGATCTTACGATTTTAAGATCCTACAACTCAAAAACGATCTCGATCTCACTATGTTATTCATTGAGTTATCTTGTGCATCGATCATATCTTTGTCCAAAAGATACCAAAATGAGTAACAAATTTTTTATTCGTAAATAAACATCGATCTCAAGTTTCGATTCACATGACTACTACAAACCAAAAAAATTGCATTTTCCAAAAAAAGATCAAAAATTGCATATGTCTATTGCACATGATAAGAAAGATCTTTAAGTTGTTGAGGATCAACTTCTGAAGGGGAACGCGTAAGAGCACATTGAGCAGTTGTGGTTTTAGGGAAAGCGATCACATCCCTAATTGAACTACTCCCACTCAATAACATCACCAACCGATCCAACCCATAAGCAATTCCTCCTAAAAAAGATACCATTCAACTTTCATCAAAATCCAAATTCCCACAAAAAAAAAAAAAAAAAAAAAAAGTCAAACATTTGACTCATTAGTTAAACATTTTCTTACCATGTGGAGGAGCACCCATGTCCAAAGCCTCAAGAAGATACCCAAATTTGGCTTCAGCCTAAAAATTCATAAACCACATTAGTATTATTAGAATTTAGAAGCAAAAACAAATGGGAATTTTTTTTTTTTGTATCTACTCACTTGTTCAGGGGAAATGCCAATGATCTCAAAAACCTTTTGTTGGACATCGCGTCTATATATTCTCAAACTTCCTCCACCAATCTAAATGGATCCACATGGAAAAAGTCAAAAAGAAAATCTTTTTGAAGAAATTATGGTCAAAATGGATTATGAAAAAGTCAACTCAAAGAACATAATAATAATAATAATAAATATACCTCGACACCATTGTAGACCATGTCATAAGCCAAGGCACGAGCAGAAGCAAGATCCTCCATGTCTTCAGGGTTCGGAGCAGTAAATGGATGATGAAGTGCCTGCAAAAGTCAAGGGGCAAAAATGGTCATTTTGTCTCAATCGGACTGTTTATGCTAACTCTTTACATATATAAGAAACAGTGCTCATTAAGTCAATTAAGTCAAAAAGAAACATTTATTTTGAAAAAGTCAACACTTGGTCAACATAGTACAAACCTCAAGCCTCTCCTCGGATTCATTCCATTCAAACATTGGAAAATCCGTTACCCATAAGATCGAATGCTTCGTCTGCACATCATACAAAAATAAAATTAAGCATTTAATATAAAAAAAAAATATGAAGGAAAAAAAAAGTCAAACATTTCTGAATAAGAACTCACATGGTCAACCAAGCCCAACAAATTGGCTACATACATTCTTAACCGGTCAAGGGTTTTGTTGACCGATGAAGTGGGACCCACTGCAAACAAAATAAGGTCACCGGGACCCGCCTCGCATCTTTTCAAAAACAAATCTTTCTTTGTGGGATCCAAACTTGATGTCAAAGCAGGAACCCCTTCAAGTTTACCTGGATTTACAATTTGCACCCTTTGTCAACATATTTGCACAAAAGCATTGAAATTTAAAGATTTTGTGTTGTTTATTACCATCTTCCATTATCTTCAAGAAAGGCAAACCCTTTGCCCCAGATTTGATTGCTTCACTTAAAATTTCACCTTTTTTGAGGGTAGTATTGGAAAAAGACTTTGCACCTGAAGGTACACATAACACTTTGATGATTCCTCCATTACTCAAGACATTTGAGAAGACTTTGAAGGAGGAATCTGAGAAAATATCGGATACCTGCAATTACAGCAATAACAATAAAAAGGGTTGAATCTTTTTTTTTTCAAAAGAAAAAAAAGAAAGTTTGTAATATGAATAGAAAGATTTACATCTTTGAGTTCAAGGGCAAAACGGGTATCTGGCCTATCTGAACCATATCGACTCATTGCTTCTGCATATGTAAGCCTTGGGAATGGATTTGGTAACTCAACACCTTTGATATCTAGAAAAACCTGCAAAATGGAAAGAGTTTATAGAAAAAGAAAAGAAAATTGTTTAGGGCTAAAACAGTAAAAAAGAATGAATGTGTTTAACTTTAACCTTTCGAATCAAATCTTCATTGAGGCTTAGCATGTTTTCAAGAGGAGTGAAAGCCAATTCCATATCTAATTGTGTGAATTCAGGTTGTCTATCTGCCCTTAAATCTTCATCCCTAAAACATTTTGCTATTTGATAGTATTTATCAAAACCAGACACCATTAGCATCTGTTTGAAGAGTTGTGGACTTTGAGGCAAAGCATAGAATGTTCCTGGCTTCATAAAGTGAATCAGAAAACAATTTTCATCTTTTTCTTTTTTGTAATGTAAAACTAAAAAGCATGCAGAATGTTAAAAGAAATATAATACCTGAACTCTTGATGGAACTAAATAATCACGAGCACCTTCAGGAGTTGATCTAGAGAGTATTGGAGTCTCAATCTACCTTACACCCATGAAAAATTAAGGATCAAAACAAAGAAAAAGATGAAGAACATGTAAAAGAAACAAAATGTTGTTAATTTAAAGACATACATTCACAAAACCATGATCATCTTCTAGATATCTTGTTATGAGCTTCACCACTTTATGCCTCAACATTATGTTGGAACTCACTTCTGGTCGACGTAAATCAAGACAACGATATCTACAAAGTGGATCTTAATTCTTTTAAATACATTGTTATTCATCGTATTTAGCTTTATTAAAGATAGAAGAGTAAAACCTACTTCAGGCGAATTTCCTCTTTGATAGAATCTTTGGCATCGTCTGAACTAGTAACCAAGAATGGCAACTTAGCTTTCACAGCATTCAAGACTTGGACTTGCTCAGCAGTGACCTAAAGTGTAGATGTAATTACGAGTTTACAACATGGAGATATGAAGATATTGGGATTGAAGAGGCTAATTTGCAAATGATCTAACCTCAATCATGCCAGTCTTCATGTTTTTGTTAACCGATTCACTTGGTCGGGGTCGAACAACACCTTCTATAGCAACAACATACTCAAGTCTCAAGTCATTCACGATAGAATGAGCATCCGGGAATTCATTAGGAAGTGTTGTGACCTGATTTTCAACAAATTTAAGCATCATTCATAGTTCGAATCAAGGAAATGCATCAAATGAATGAAAAATGAACCTGAACGATTCCAGAATGGTCCCTGAGATTAACGAAAGTGAGCCCACCATGACCCCGATGAAGTGCGACCCATCCACACAATCTAACCCGTCTACCCACATCATTTTCGGATAATTCGCCGCATAGTCCGTTCCGACTGACCCATTCAAGAGTGGCGGTTTCGTGAATCGATCCAGGTACAGACTGCCGTCGTTGTTCCTTGGTGGTTGTGGGGGGATTACTCACAACCGGTTCAATTGTAGAAGCAGACACAGAAGAGAAGGATTTTGTTACAAGGGGTTTGAGAAATATGCGATTGATGCGAAACAGTGGGAGGGATTGAGTTGAGAGGTGTCTGGATCGAATTGCTATGTCGGGTAAGACCCGGAGAATCATGGACATCGTTTTGCAGTGGGGGAGGGGGAAGGGCTTATCTATTGTACAGAGAAGACGAGAGGGTTTTATAGGTTGCAACTTACTTTCAGAACGATCCCAAAGATTGAAAACCACTCAATTGATGCCCGTTATGTCTCTTACGGTGTTTATTAGTTTGTGACTTTGTGTCGATAACAAAGAGTTTTTTTTTTTTTTTTTTTTTGAATTAATTAATAGTAATTTTAGGTGAAAAAACTCATAAATATTTAAAAGTCATGAATATTTTTTTGAATTAATTAATAGTAATTTTAGGTGAAAAAACTCATAAATATTTAAAATTCATGAATAAGTGACTTTACAAAAACTCAATTTTGAAGGTAGTAAAAAGTTTCCAAAAACATTTTTTTATTTATTAAAACAATCTTATTGTTTTTTTGAAAAACTAACAAGTGAATAAGTACTTCTCAAATTCAATCCTAAAACACCCTCAAGCAACTCCAATGGACCATCATTGGTATGAAAACCAACTCCAACTGTATTTTGTTTCCATCATCGAAATAATATTCCTAAATACTACAGGTTGTTTGTTTACTTTTTAAGGTTCCATTATGAGATTGGATTATGAGTTGGTCAGATTTAAAGTGTTCGTAATCTTTGTCCCTTATAGTTCAACTGGCATATGAAATACCAACAATAAAACATATCTTAATGGAAAATGGACACCCTTTTCCCCTTGCCTCCTTTCTCTTTGAATTACATTTGCTTCCTCTTTGCCCTAAGAACATCGACCCACATCCGGTTGACGGTGAGTTTCCTATAATCCTCTCTTTTCCTGTAACTAGGGCTTTTACTTGTAAAAAATAAGTTCGTCGTCAATAAAACTTGTGATTTATGTAGATGTGTGTGTATTTGTTCATTTGTTATCATGATGTCTCGTGACGTTTGAAATTTGATTTGTGTGTGAATGTTTGTGTGTTTATCTTCCATTACAAAGGCTTGTGTGTTTCTTTTGCTTTTGCTAAAAAGAAAATGCAATTTAAGATGGGTTATGGGTGATAATAAATTGATTTTTTTAACAACATGATGAATTTGATTGTTTTAGAGTTCAATTGTCAAATTAAATGATTTTGGTACCGAGATACGTATTGTTGGAAAGAATGTTCAAAGTCATTTACAATTGATAATATTTCTAATAATAACAAGGTCATTTAGGTTGCCCTTATGACCAATTTGAGGAATTAAAAGAAAATGAATTAAGGAAAAAATAATTTATTGAATTATTTTGTTTAATAAATAATTAGCAACTATTTTGGAAGTAATTGCGAATTAATTAATTCGAGGGTTAAATATTAATTAGTTAAAAGTTAACTAATTAGAATATTCCAGAATCCCCAAGGGATAATGAGGAATTTCGTAGCGTCTCAATTTCAAAATAAAATTTTGTTTTTAAAAACATATTGTCAGGAAGACATATTCAAGGCAAAACCCTTTATTAGTAAACCGAAATTCAAAATCAAAGCTATAAGAAAGACAATGCGGAAGCTCGAATTATAAAATTGTTGATGTGTGTACAATCCTGCCTTCGCACTCCGATAAGTACCTGAAAAATATTTAAATCCACAACTGGAAACCAAAACTTAGTGAGTTCCTCCAAAATACGACACACAACAATACATATACAATGCATGCACACAAGGCCTACTGTACAAGGCTGGACCGCCATCTGAGCCTTCAACATTAAGTTGGATCGTTCCCAAGCCATAAACATTAGTTGGATCGCTCCCTTTGGGCCTACAGTCTCAACTGGACCGCCTCGGGTATCTTGGCCTTCAGCACAAAGTAGGACCGCCTCAACCCAACCATATTATGTCGACATATGCAAACAATAATCAATAACCAACAAGTACAAGTAATCATACATGTCTAACAATCTAACAGACCATTCATTAATTGTTTCAAAAACCATCATCGAATATAATATCCAAAATATCAGAGTACAATTATTCAAAATGTGGACATCATGAAGGGATGATGTTGTGCCATCACGACGGGCCCTTCCCTTTCGAACCGAAAGTACCTGAAACCATAAACATAAACTGTAAGAACAAAGCTTAGTGAGTTCCTCAAAGTACCACATACCAATAATATAATTGGGCTTAACCCTGGGGTATAGACCAACCCAATATACATATATGGGCCCAGTCCTGGGGCCTCGCCTTGGGGTATATTTTGTCACACCCCCAAACCGGAACGGCGGAAACGTTCGGGGGTGGTTGACGTCATGCGTAGTATCACAACAGTTGTATCATAGCAAACATAGTAAACACAACCAAACATTGAATACATATATGAATAAGCTTTACATTGTCTTAGTACATAGTTTTGTTCATGACAAAAGTAAAATCGAAAGACGTGACTCTAACGCGCCGACTTCTCCAAAAGTCCTGGAAGTACCTGTCTACTAAATCCCTGAGAATACAAGCAGTTTTAAAAGAATATCAGCATAAAGCTGGTGAGTTCATAAGTATTTAGTTTTTGGTGGAAAATGTTTCTTTGATCCTTTTGAAAAGTGTTCCTCAAGAAAATCCTATATTTTCTTATGAAAAGCGTGTTTGAAAACCCATTCCTTCCATGACTTCCAGATTCATACAAGGTATGTACAATCCAAGGAGTCGTGGAATGAATATGAATATCCGTTAGTTATATGTTAAACAATCCGTTTATGAAAAGCCGAGTTATCCCGGGAAAATCCTATATTTTCCCTACAAGTTGATGGTTGGTTATCCGTTCTAAACTGAGGTGTACAAGTATCTACCATACTTATATCGATAAACGTAGTTTTCTTTTAAAAACCTTGGTTACTTCCAGTGAGGTATATTAGCCCTATTATATAAATAAAACTAATAAAAGAAAACGTGTTGAACTAAATCCTGAAGGTACTATTAATACCCTACAGTAATCAAATCGGTTATTACTTTGAGGTTAGTTCAATTGATTCATTATTACAAAAGTAAATCTCTTCTATCTAGGTTGTGAGTTTCATGACCATAACTGACTGGATATGGCCCGCAACGACCGGTATCCTTAATGACTTTGTCACCCGTAGACCTGCCGGTCCGACTGTAGCTAGCAGCGAGGTGCGGGATTGTCAGTCCCGTATAGATCTATACACAACAGTCACGCTCTCCCTACAAGAGACTCTGGTCACAAGTGCTAGTCCTACACTCTGTTTCTTGTGGTGAGTGTTACCAAGGACGTGTCTCAAACTTAGACTAACAAATTTACAAGTAATAATATAGAAAATCCTTTTATGATTAACATGAATCCTTTATAAAAACGTTACATTTTAATACATGATTCATAAGTTCATTGCTCTAGTTTTGATAACTGTATCTACAAGTTGATTTCTTAATCGTTTGGTAAAACTGTTTTCCGTGTTAAAAGCATACTGAAAATATAATTATCTTAACAAAATAATATATTTTGAGCACAAGTTTCCTTGTACTTCTGCTTGTATTCCCCCCTAAAAACATGAAAAACTCGGAAAAACGTAGGGGTATGAACTCACCTCGGGCGATTCGAATGAAAGATCGATACGGAAGGCGGGATGTTCAAGTGAAGCCTTGAACACAATCTGATCCTAATTAACAGGTAATGACACATAAAGGAGTCAAATGAAGGTATTTCCTTACTAAATGTGATGGAGAACCACTCTAAGAACTTAGGGCAACTCACACTAAGTGCTAGAACCTTAAAGGATTGCATGAGGGAGGTGTATGGCCACCTTAAAGGTGTGTGCGGCCATGGTTGTGCGGCCATACACTCATGATGGAAGGTGCTTTTGGGGTGTTTTCAAGGTCCATACTTGCATCCATGAAGTGTTCTAGGTCTATACTCGATTATTGTGCAAGTTAAGGGTCCTAGAGGTGGGTTTGCGGTCCTAGGGTGTGTGTGTGTGGTCGCACACGGGAGTGTGCTGCCGCACACAAGGAGTGTGCTGCCGCACAAGTGTGTGTGCAGCCGTACACAGGTTTGTGCGGTCGTACACCCCACACAAAGATGTCCAAAACGTCAAATCTTGGGTGTAGCAAGGCTAGGTTCATGTCCAACTCGAATATGGAAGTCCAACTCTCACTTTGGAGGGTCTTTTAGGAGTGTGCGGCCAACCTTATGAAGGTGTGCGGCCGCACTCCTTCAATAGATGAAGAACATGATGAAATTTGATGAATCAAGGCTTAGATGAAGTGGTTCTTCAAGTACAACAAGCTAAGGGATGGATTACTCACGTTTTTGAAGCCTTGGGAGGGTTTGCGGTTGAAGAGTCTTGAGAGGAAAGGTGTTGTGTGCTGCTAGGATGTTAAAGGAATGAAAGGAAAGGGGTCTACCCTTTATATAGGGTGGGTGTGTGGTCATGAGGGGTGTGTACGGCCGTACACCCATGTGTGCGGTCGCACACTCCTCAGAAGGGGTGTATGGTCCGGTTTTTGACACTCTACGGCTTGTTGACTCATTCCTAACCTCAACCTTGGCTATACTCAAGCTTAGAATGCTTAAATGGACCCTTAAACAGCGCTAGAAGTTAACAGAACAAGTTTACCATTAATTGAATTGGCTAAGTGTACAAGATAAAAGTTTCGGGTTGTCACATCATCCCCCCGTTAGAGGGAATTTCGTCCCGAAATTCAAAATTAAAGATGTAACTCGCGGACATGGAAATGATGGGGGTACTTTTGTATCCTTGGATTCTCGTGCCCCCAAGTGAATTCAGGTTCCCGCTTGGCATTCCAACGGACCTTCACTATCGGGATGTGACGTTATTTCGTTTGCTTGACTTCTCGATTCGTGTGTCCAAATGAAGCGTAGACTCTTGTCTAGTTCGATATCATCGAGGGGAACCACAAATGTCTCATCGGACGGACACTTCTTTGGTTCGACACGAGGAAGACGGGATGAACGCTGCTAAGCGCTCGAGGTAACTGGAGTTTGTATGCTACGGGACCGACCCTAGCTAGGATCTCGGACGGTCCAACGTATTCTTGGATTTAGGTTTTCTACGCTTTCCGAAGCGTATCAGGCTTTTTCCCAGGGTGAGACTTTTAAAAGGACACGGTCACCAATCCTAGAATTCCACG